AAAATACGTAGCCCATCGTTGAAATGGATGTGTCGACGCAGGCGCCCCAGTTCGCATCAGAATAACCAACCACACCCGTGACTTTTGCTGGGCCGCGGGCATAGAGAAGCTCATCGCGGTACGTGGCGCGAAGGTAGCGAAGGACGTGTTTGACGGCAATCCAATGGCGGCGGCCGGGGTTGTTGGCGAACCGGGACAGGTACGAGACGGCGAAGGCAATGTCGGGTCGAGTGCCAAGGGAGATGTAGAGGAGGGAGCCGATGGCCTGTAGGTACCACGAACGAATGCGCTCCGTTCCCTGACCCGGAATTGCCGTGAGCGAGAGGCCGGGCGTCATCGGCACCGTAGTGCCGCGTGTCGTGGTGTCGAAGTGGAAACGGGCCAGCACGTCCATGATGTAGCGCTCCTGGGATAGAGCAATGGAACCGTCGTCCAGGCGGCGTATTTGGATTCCGAGGATGTACTCCGCGGGGCCGAGTCGTTTGACGCCGTACCGCTGTTCAAGGCCGGAGATGACACGTTCGATCTCGTCGAGGGCTGGACTGACAATGAGGAGGTCGTCGACATACAAGGCGATATAGTGAGGCCGCTGCTGATCGTCAATGCGAGAGTAAATGCATGATCAGTGCCTGTTGCCTTGTACCCCAGATTCCTGAGTGATGTGTCAATGTGACGATTCCAGATGCGACCGGCCTGCTGAGACCGTTAGATTGAGCGTCGCAGCCGGAGAACCTTATCGCTCGGGAAGTCGAAACCGCGTGGTGTCGTCATCCAGATATCATGATCGAGCTCGCCGTGGAGGTAAGCCTTGTCGATGTCGGCCTGATGAACGTGGCAGCCATTGGCAGCGGCAAGAGCCAGAGGCAGCGAATGGAGGAGAAACGGGCGACGGGTGCGAAGGTTTCTGAGAAGTCGATGCCGTCGCGCTGTCGGTTACCCTGCGCTACAAGACGTGCCTTCCGCCCGTGACTTCACCGCTTGCGTTGCGCTTGGTCTTCCAGACGAATTTGGAGGTGACGATGGTGGCGCCCGGCGGTACAGATGAGCGAGGCTCGATGGTGAACACCTTGAAGTCGTCGCGCATGGCGGTGAACTCGGCGGCGGCGGCCTCAGCCCAGATGTTGTGCTCGTCGCTGGACATTGCTTCGCGCCAGGTCTGGGGGTCGCTAGTGATCGATTTGACGGGCTCGATGGCGTCGAGGGTGGGGTCGTCGTCGTCTGTGGCGATGAAGGCGCGGTGGTGTTGGGTGAGGAAATCGATTTCATCCGGCGATTCATCGCGCGAGTGACGCCCAATGATGTCGAGTTCGTCGGGCGACTCCTCAGCCGATGCGGGCTCACGGTACGTGCTGAAGTTGGGCGGTGCACGTCCGGTGGGCCAAGGCGAGTCGGGGTCTGTGAGCCGATGAGGTCCAGAGGGTCGGCGGAGTAGTCAGAGTCGGTCGGTGAGACCGAGGGTGACGATGACGCTGCCAACGACGGTGACAGCGCAGGCGACGGTGACAAAGGGTTTGTGGGCGACGGTGACGAGGACGGCTCAGGAGACGGTGACGAGGACGATTCGGTATCTGTGGAATTAAGTAAGGTTCCGCCAGTGTACCCTGGGGCCACGTCAACGGCGCTCATGGCAGAATCATCAAGGGAGGATGAGACGTCCATGTGCGCCGACCTTACTAGTGGGGTCCTCGTCTTGACGGCAGGGGCGGGCGTGTCGGCGGGAACGACGAACTGACGGTCGGTGTCGTCTGCATCGACGGGCGTGGTGACTGGCAGGCCGGGGAAGTCGTCGTCGAGGAAGGTGGCATTGCGACCAAGTACAATCTTGTTGATGGAATGGTCAAAGAAACGGAAAGCTTTGGAGGCGAGGTCGTAACCTGTGAAGATCACGCGCGCGGGCCTTGGGGTCGAGCTTGCTGCGAAGGTCCGGGGCGACCGTGAGCCAGGCTGTGCAGCCGAACGGGTGGAGGGCGGTGGCGGTGGTGCGTTGGCCGTTCCAAACGGATTCTGGAGTCTGTTTGGCCAAAGCTGAGTGTGAGCACCTGTTTTTGCAATAAACGAAATACGCAGCCGCTTCATCCCAAAAGGTGGCCGGCAGACGGGCGTCCGCAAGGAGAGCGAGGACGCCCTCGACGATGGAGAGGTTGACACGTTCGGCGCGACCGTTTTGTTGAGGCGTGTAAGGGATAGAGTATTGACGACGAATGCCCTTTGGCAGGCAACGTCCTCTTCAGAAGACGTTGACTACACGCGGAGGAGGGGATCAGGCCGAAGGAAGGTCGACTGGGCGGGGGCAGGCGACCGAGGGACAACCGAGGAGGGACGCGGTTGTGAGGCTCGCAGCAAGTCAAGTATATCGGACTTTATTGCCAACGAGATCGAAAACGAAGGATGAAGGTGAAGGGATCTTGGGAGATGTGGCGGACCAGGCTGAGTGGGAAGGTGCTAAAAACAAAAGGGAGGCACTCAGGCGCAGAGGGGACTTAGCCAATTCAGCTACTCCAAGAGGTCGCCTCAGGGGGAAAAAGGATTGCTCGCGGGAGCACCGGTAAAAACCCTGAGGCCGCGCCTCAGCTAACAAAAAGAACAAAAACCGAGAGAAGATTGCGCTCTGCGCGCCTTGAACCCGCGACCATTAAGTGCGCGCCCGCGCGCCGAACGACTACGCCATCACGCCCACAATGCTTGAATGGAGGGAAGCATTTGGTGACCTCAACTCTACCTGCACATTACCTCAGGGACTTCCTTCGAGTGTTGCTGTCAGTGTATCGCTGTTTGCCTGACACCCTTGGATTTGCAGAACTCCGTGAATGCGTTTGATCGTACTCCCCGCCATTGTCGGTTCGAAGGATCCTCAACCGCGCGTTCGTCTCTAACTCCACTTCGGCGAGCCAAGTCTGGAAGGTCGGGAAAACATCGCTTTTGTGATCGATCGCATATGCCCAGAGTTTGCGAGAGTGGTCGTCTAGAAACGTGACAAGGTAGCGCTTCCCGGTCAAGGACGGAGTGGGGAACGACAGGACGTCGCTGTGCACGAGGCCAAGTCTCTCGGCGGAATGCGACTCAGAGTCGGGAAAGGGAAGGCGGTGACCTTTGGAACCAAGGCAAGCATTGCAAACAAACTCCTCTACGTCTTTGTCACTGTACCCGGCCCCAAACCCGTCCAGCAAACCTGCAGCAATCATCTTCTGTATAGAGGATGGGGCAAGATGGCCGAGGCAGCGGTGTAGGGTAAGCAGGGGCACGGGAGACTCAGAGCGTGAGAGGAAGGCAAGATGCTGACACTTGGTGTGATCCGCGTCCAAAAGGTAAAGACCGTCGTTGACCCTGGTACCGTGAGCAATGGCCCGGCCGTCCTTGGCGATGTCGATGCCGTCGCTGGTGAAGGCGAGACGAACGCGGTCGGTGTCGCAGAGGCGAGAGACAGAGAGGAGGTTGACGTGTAGGCCAGGCGTGTGAAGAACACCACGGAGCGTGATCGGGTGTCCAGTCTTGGCGACGAATGCCACGTCCCCCATGCCGATAGCCGTGATGCCGCCCGCGATGCCGCCGATCTTGGTGTGTGCCGTCTGACGATAAGTCGTGAATAGAGATCGGTCGGCGACCATGTGTGTCGTGGCACCCGAATCGACTACAAAGGCGTCAGTTGGGAGTTGGCGACGAGCGAAGAGGCAGGAGGCGAAATAGCCGACGTTCGGTTGCGAGGCCGCGGAGGAAGACGTGTCGTCCTGGGTGTCGTCGCTGCTACGTGCCTGTTCACCCGGTTCTTGCAGTCGAGTGCCCAGTGACCTTTCTTGTGGCATCGGCGGCAGGGGCCGGTGGGCGGGTGCTTCGCACGTGAAGTGCAGTCGCGCAGGCGGTGACCGGGAGCGCGGCAGGCGGGGCAGGGGGAGCTGGTGGCAAGCATGGCCAAATGCGAGGTCGAGAGTCCTGCCGAACGAAGCTGGATGCGAATGCGGTCCGTAAGCGTCGTGAGTTCGGGAAGGTCGCGTCGGTTTCGCTGCTCGTCCGTGAACGTGAGTCGGAAGCTGTCGAGGCAAGACGGGACCATGGCGAGCACGTGGGTGGCGAGCACGTCGTTGAGCGATGTTTTGGCGTCGCGTATTTCCTGAGCAATCGACATGTACTCGCGTAGCCAAGTGTCGTAGGCCTCGACGGAGGCAGGCATCTTCCTGAAGTCCCAAAGGCGAGCGAACAACTCGAGAGTGCGTGTAGCGTCGTCCGGTGCAAAACGAGCCTTGAGAGCGGCAAAGATGCGCGGTGCCGACAGGTCGTCGCTGGGGATGGCGTCGAGGGTGGCCGATACGTCGGCGGAGTCGATAGAGCCAACGATGATTTCCCGGGCGGCGTCGTCACGTGCGGCAAGCTGGTCGGCGGTCCAGGTCGGGGGAACGACACCGTCGAGAACGTAACCACGAACCTGGTTCGGGAGTGCAAGACGGAGTTGACGCAACCAGTTGGTGAACGACTTGGGGCCGTCCAGACGAGCGTGCTTGGGAAACACGACCTTGGATGCGGTGGCGGCGTTCCCCGGCACGACGGTGACGGCCGGGGGTGCGGCGGCTGCGGCGGCGGCGGGTTGCGAGGCCTGCAGAGCGGCAAGCTGGGCCTGTAGAGTGGCGATTTGTTCGCCGATCGAAGATTCAGGGGAGCTGGGATCCCTGGGGGCCAAAGGCGAGGCGGGAGAGCTGTCCATGATGTGATGGTGCGATGGACGTGTGCGGCTCGAGTGGCTGGGCTCGAGCGAAAAAGCCTCAAGTGGCGGGGCTGGTAGCTCGTGGGCTTATAACCTATTCGATCAACTCTACTACGTCAGCGATGTAGTTATAGCCAAGAGTGATCAATGCATTTCAACATACCTATTCGATCAACTCTACTACGTCAGCGATGTAGTTATAGCCAAGAGTGATGAATAGGAAGCTAACAATAAGAGACCCGCGCGCCCCAAGTCCACAGCCAGCGAGCCTGGGGCTGAGCCAATGGCCCAGGCTCGCTCCGCGCGCCTAAGTCCCAGGCTCGCTTCGCGCGCCTAAGTCCTGGGCCGGGGCGCCCGGCTCACTCCGCGCGCCTAAGTCCGCGCCCGGTTCGCTCCGCGCGCCTAAGTCCTGAGCCGAGCGGAGAGTGGATTCCTCACAGTTGCGAGGCAGGACGACGTAGCAAAGTGCTCCCCGGTCGAGAAGTCGCGAGGCGGTGAATGTTGTTTGTAGGCTGCAGGACCTTGGGAGGTTGGCGTAGCGACCGCTAGGGCTACTGTGGGAGCGTCGACGTGGCTGGGTTGCAACGGACGGTCCGGGCGGAGAGGTCGTGAGGCGGTACGGACGAGGTCTGACGAGACGAACGTGGCACGGCTGGACGGACTGTTCTCTACCGAAGATTAGCTGTCTTGCTAATGTTGGGAAGCGGTAGAGAAGAGGAAGAAAGGCACAGGAGAGCGCGAGTCTGGCAAGGTTCTAGCTAGCGGGCGCATGAGGGGATTTCTACCAATCAGAGGAGCACGCTGCGAAGCCCTAAGGGCCAAACTCCAAGTGGGCCATCGAGGTTCTGAGAGATGTCATGTTGGACGACGAACGCGAGGGAAACTTATCTACATGATCCAGTGTTGCTCAGTGAGGTGATCCGTAACGACAAGTTCCAGGTTGCAAACGATGGGCATCATGAATGGGCGATGTTCTGAATGGCCGATGGATCATGAGGTCGGCGGTGGCAAATTGGCTGTGGCGAGGCGGAGGTGTTGGCTTGGCAAAGCTGGAGAGTGCAGGCTGACTAAGTCCCGGCGTGGAGGCGGCGGCGCGCGAGCGTGAGTTGAGCAGGCATGCGCGGAGGCGGAGAAAAGGGGGCAGCTTAGCTGCGAAGGCGAGAATGCGCCGAGGCGAAAGGGCGCTCGAGGCGAGAAAATGGGCAGGCCTGACAAATGGTGGCGCAAGGTTGAAGTGTTCGAAGGCTTGTAGTAGAATGAAATTCAACACCCCCCCTTGTTCGAACGCTTCCAGAAGAGCACGAAAGGAGGTTTTGGCAAGTGGTGTAATCGACAATGCAGTGACCGGTGTAGTGAGACCTGGGTGTGTGGGCGGAGCGGGGACTTTACCAATTTTGGCCGCCGGACGTCGAAGGATCTGGGAGTTCTTGAAACCTTGAAATTGTTGCTACGACGGGTGCATCCTCCGGTGGGGCAATGGGTGGGGCCGTGGTTTGACGTTGGTGTCCGTTGCGTCGCTCGATGTAACGTTTGCGGGCGTCGTCGTCGGGGCAGTGTCGCACTCGATGCACACCGTTGTTGTCAGGATCACAGCCTGCACTGCCATCAATACTCGAAGGATTTTTTTTTTGTAGAAACTGTTCATCATATTGCCCCAAGTCCTGTTCCCCCTGATTGGCCTACGGAAAAACTAGATGGAAGTCGACGATGATAACACAAACCGCCCGCAAGATGCGAGAAACGGGCCAAGTCCACCAATCCGATACTTCGGATTCAAGTGCCCCAGCCAAGCGGTTGCTCCCCCCAGGAGACGAATGAGAGAGAGAAGAGAAAGAGAGAAAATGAAAAAGAACTGGCGTACTAACGACAAGAGGCCCACCCCGCACCCACTTCCCAACTCGGTCGAGACAAAGACAGGAGAGCGACTGCGCAGCTACCCTGACCCGCGAAGTCCCCAAGTCTATGCTCGGTCACAACAAGACGCGGTGGAGGCCCCTCAAAACCTCCACCTCAGCAGTCCCTGGCCCCTCAAAGCCGACTTTCTGCCTGTGTCTGCTGATCCCTCCCTTGACTCAGAACCCCGAAGCCAAAGAGCGCGAGCCACCGTCGAGTCAATCCCAAATCGCGAGCCGGTCCATGAGCAACGGAGGCAGACCTGTAATAAAAGAAAGAAAGATGAAGAAAATATATTTAGTATACAGTTTTTGTAAGAGGATGTGTGATGTGGGGTGTGTGAGTGTGGGATCGGGTGGGGGGAAATCGAACCCAGCCTCTACTGCCCTCGCCCGCCCCTTGCTCCCCCCGCCCTCAACTTCATCCTCTCCTCCAGTACCACCCTCCTCCGCTCCAGGCTTTCCATCCTCGTCCCGTGCTTCTGCATCCTCCATCTCCCACTGCTGATCATCTCCAAGACCATCCCCGTGAAGATCTCGATCGTCCTGCCTGCGCCTTCCTGTTCGCTGAGCTTGGCCTTGAGCTTGGGGAGGCCAAAGAGTCGTTGTAGTGTCGTGTACTCGGCGTCCTCGATCGTGTCGCATCCGAGCGCGTCGCAGAGCACGCCCCTTGCCGCGGTCCAGATGTTCCGCGAGTCGACGCAGCCGAAGAAGTAGTGATCGGTGTCGTCCACCGGCGCTTCGCACACGAGGCACGCGGGAGAAGTGTCGTGCTTTTGCTCGTGCTGGAGTTTGCGCGTCGGGGTGAAGCGGAGGATCAGCTTGAACCAAACTTCCCTCTCCCTCGCCGTCAGTGCCTTCGAGTTGACTGCCTTCCAGAAGCTCCTGAGGTCGTCCGGCTGCGGTGGTCCCTTGAGCCCGAGCATGTTGGTAAATGCCTTCGCGTTCAGGACCCGGCGGATGCGACGGACTGTGTAGGGGCGAGCCATGTTCAGCAGCGTATACTGGCTCGCCTGTTGTGGAAGCACCGGGTCCGGAAGGCGCTGCTCCATTGCGAAGCGGGCCACGGGCTTGGGGATGATCGCCTCGAGTGGTGCGCTGGTGCCGATCCGGGGAGGCACGTTGAGTCGTCCCGCCGCCGCCAAGGGGGTGTTCTTGTGTCGATCGACAGTGAACCGGTACCAGGCCGCGATTGCCAGTCGCTGCGGGAGCCCGCGTCGATTGTACTCGCTGTTGTCGCCGAGCACATCCGCCGGCGGCGTCCAGAGGTGAAACCCCCCACCCGCATACAACTCGCGTCGATAGAGATCCGCCACCTTCGGGTAGCCCTGGAGACGAAGGTAGTCAGGTACATGAACCGCGTCGATGGTCTGTCTCCCTCTGATGGGGGTGTGGAGGCTGCCGAGCAGGGTGGGCAGCGCGAGCAAGTTCGCGGTGGTCAAGGCCCTCGGGTTGACCTGCGCGTCGTGAAGTTTCGGAACGCCCAGTGCGGCGTGCCATCGGGGATGAAGGTCGTTGGGGATGGGAGTGGATGGATGTGGCCAGAGATCGGTGGCCAGGTCGAGGTCGGGCTGAGCTCGCTGGAGTGATGCGCGCGCAAGTCCTTGCCAAATCGCGCCGGAACCGCCGAGAAGAACGTCCCAGAGCCGTGCCGCAACCGCGTCCACAACGTCCCGCATCCTTATCACCCCGAGTCCCCCCTTGTTCTTGGCGGTGAACACAATGTCTCTGCCGTAGCTGGTCCTGCCCTTGCCCCCACGGACGAAATCGACGAGCATGTCATCGAGCTTCTTGACGACTTCGGGCGGCGGGATGTCGGCTGCAAGGAAATGCAGGATCTTGGGAATGGCGTACCGATTGACGTAAAAGGCACGGGTGTGGTGCGTGAGCCAGCGATGCTGAACCGCTTCCAGCGTCGCCTCGAGCCGTTCGATGAGATTCGCGTAGGCGAGTTCGGTGTCGCCGCTGGGGTCGAAGGGGAGGCCGATCCACTCGAGCGACTCGCCTGCGGCCTTGACGACGATTGGCCATTCGCCAGGGTCCCAGCGACGTCCAATCGGTAGGACGACCGTCTTGTCCGTGTTGAGCCGGCCATTCGTTGCATGCCTCCAGTCGAGCGCCAGGTCATCGAGCAAGTTGAGTGACTCCAAGCCCGCGACGGCGACGACAACGTCATCGGCAAATGCAAGTGATGTAATGGCGCGGCTCTGTGGGTACGGATGAAGTGCAGGTATGGAGAGATTCAGCGCGATGTTTCGACGGTGTAGAGCATCCAGGAACGGCTGAAACACGATGTCCCAGACCGACGATGACGCCGGGTCCCCTTGGCCGAGCCCACACGTCAGTCGCACCGGCGCCGTCAGGAACCCATTGATGATGTAGCGCGCCGAGGTCGAGTCACCCGAGTAGAGCATCCTCAGCACGCGAAGAAAGGTGGTAGGAGCGCCCAGAGCGTCGAAGATGGCAAAGATCCAGTCATGCTCGACGAGGTCGTAGGCGGATGATTGGTCAAGAGACAAGAGTATAGAGTGTAGGTCGTGGAACTTTTCGGAACTGGGTGTAGCGACCGCTGGGGCTACTGTTGGGCGCGTCGACGTGGCTACGGTTGCGACGGACGGTCCGATTGGGAGAAGTCGCAAGGCGGCACAGACGCGGTCTGACGAGACGGCGGTGCGGCTGGACGATCTGTTCTCTACCGAAGATTAGCAGTCTGGCTAATGTCGGGAAGCGGTAGATATGATTTCAACTAACCTGTTCTCTACCGAAGATTAGCAGTCTGGCTAATGTCGGGAAGCGGTAGAGAAGAGGAAGGGAAGCACAAGGAGCGCGAGTCTGACAAGGTTCTAGCAAGCGGGCGCGCAAAGGATCTACTGCAAATCGGGCGGATGCGCTGCTAAGCATCAAGGGCAAACTCCAAGTGGGTCATTCGGGTGCTGAGAGGGGTCGTGTTGGACAACGGCCACGAGGGGAAACCTATCTACGATGTCGAGTGTTGGTGAGCGAGGGAGTCCATAGCGACGAGACTCAGGTTGCGAACGGCGGGCGTCATGCATGGGCGATACTCTTGATGGCCGATGGAACATGAGGACGGCGGCGGCAAGCTGCTGGTGACTAAGTGGAGGCATTGGCTCAGCAAGACTGGAGGGCAGACGGCCAGAGTCCCGGCGTGGAGGCGGCGGCGCGCGGGCGTGAGTTGAGCAGGCCGGCGCGAGGCAGGAGGGCGACGGCTTGGCTGCGAAGGCGAAGGCGCCGAGGTGAAAATGGGGCGGCGGCTTGGCTGCGAAGGCAAAGGCGCCGAGGCGAAAATGGGCGGACCTGACAACGGCGGCCCAAGGTTGAAGTGTTCGAACGCTTGTAGTAGAATGAAATTCAACAAAGAGCGCGGCCGCGGGGAACTCGGTCCTGCGCGCGCCAAGTTCCTCGATCAGGAGACAAAGGTGTAGTGCAGCGTCGGCCGATCGGCGGTCCTTGACGAAGCCGTGCTGCTGCGGCGGGAGGAGATCGGGCAGAATTTGGTTCAATCGGGCGACGTAGACCTTGGTAAAAATCTTGTAATCGCACTCGCGCAGGGTGATGGGGCGATACGACGAGAGTTCGGCGCGATCGGCATTCTTCTTGTGGCGCTTGAAGATGAGGCGCACGAGTCCCTGGCCCTGCTTGGGAGAGAGTGAACCGCGCTCGATCATCGCGTTGTAGGCCTTGGTCAGCACCTTGGACCACGCCTCCGGTGCGGTCTGATAGAGTTCGTAAGGCACGCCCGACGGGCCCGGCGATCGCCCCGGGTGCGTCGTCCCGATCGCGGCCACGACCTCGTCCTCGGTGATGGGTTGCTGGAGGAGATCAATCTGCGCTTCCGAGAGTCGGCGCAGAAAGAGCGGATCTGAGCGCGGGTCGTCGCAAGTCCGTGCCGCCCTGATCGGCACGAGGAGTTCGTCCCGAAGTCGGTCGACGCGTTCCGGATCACGAGGCTCGATGTGGTAGAGGCGCTGGAAATGCGCCTGCGTGTGGTCAAGAGCGACATCAATGTCATGCGTTAGCTCTCCGTTACCCAAGCGCAGTGCTGTGATCTTGGAGTCCGAGTTCCGCGCCGCGAGCTTGGCGTGGACCGGCCGCGACAGTCGTTCCTCGGAAGCGATCTCGGGGACGTGGGCTCGGATCCGGAGTAGGCGCGCGCGCTCCTCGACCGCCCGCTTGAGTTCCTCGGACGTCCTTGTCCATTCTGCCGTTTCCGCCTCCCCCCATACCGGTAACGCCTCCAGATCCTGCACCCTCCCCACCAAATACTCCATCCGTTCCGTCCGCTCCCGATGCAGCCTCCTCGCCATCTCCCCACCCCTGTCCCTGCACGCCTCCAGAACCTCCTCAAGCTCTCGCACCAGATCCTCCCCGCTTGCCCCTTCCAACCATCCTTCCATCATCCGCTGAAATTCCACCGTCTTGAAGGTTGTGGTATTGATTCGATGTAGTTGGTCGGATGTGGTAGGTAGGCTGAGCTGTGGGAGAGCCGCATCAAGATCGTCTGAGAGAGCTAGTACGATCAAGACCGGTCGGTGATCGGAAAGATCCTTGGGATAGTCGTAGATCGTCGAGGCCTGGTCGAGCCTTTTTTGGTGAGCTCTTTGTAGGAGAAAGTAGTCAAGCCGGGAGAAGGAGTTGGGTCGCTTGCGATTGGGATTAGGTCGAGTGAAAGATGGGGTGATGGGGTGCTTGTAGCGGATGCAGTCCGTGTAGGCCGAGTCGAGCTTGCCCATCAGAATCGGCCAGTGGTGGCCGCGCCGACTTTGGTTCCGCCGATCAACTTCTGGGCGCGGGCAGTCGTTGAGATCGCCGCCAAGGAGTCGGAGGTGGGATTTCTGTGTTTTGTGGAGGATCAGTTTGTCGAAGAATTTTGCTCGTTGTTTTGGGTCAACGGGCGCGTAGAGGTTATTGATTTCTAGAATTTTGATGTCGCCCCGCAGACGAAAGGAGGTGACGAGGAGCCGGCCGTCGAGTGCCGAGTGGGTGCGCAAGAGCTCGGCGTCGATCAGGGGCGAGTCGGCCGGGATCAGGGTCAGGCAGTGCTGGTTGATGAAGAGCTTGCCCTCGTACTCGTCCTTGATGAGCTGCCAGAATTGTGGTCTGATGAAATGCTCTTGTAAGAGAATTGCGGAAGCTTTGAATGTGGAAAGGTAGGTGTAGATATTACATCGTTTTTCCGGGACCCCCATGCCCCTTCTTACGTTCCAGGTGATGATGGTGTGCTTGATCATTAATGGGTAGTCGAGGTCGAGGCGCTCTTGGCGGTGGTGACATCCTCAAAGAGGGGAAGGGCGGGCAGGACATCGTCCTCGGGCTCGTGGTCGGACCATCGTTTTTCCTCAGCTACCCCTCTTCCTTTCCCTCTGTCCACCTTCGTCACCTCGACCTGCATCGCCGCTGCCGCCGACATCGACCTCGTCACCCTCCGCCCCTCTATTCCATCCTTCACCACGACGCGGCTCTTCCCTTTGATGATGACTCGCTTGGCGTCGGTCGGTTCGTCACTTGGGTCACTGAGGTCCTATTCGATCAACTCTACTACGTCAGCGATGTAGTTATAGCCAAGAGTGATAAATGCATTTCAACATACCTATTCGATCAACTCTACTACGTCAGCGATGTAGTTATAGCCAAGAGTGATGAATAGGAAGCTAACAATAAGAGACCCGCGCGCCCCAAGTCCACAGCCAGCGAGCCTGGGGCTGAGCCAATGGCCCAGGCTCGCTCCGCGCGCCTAAGTCCCAGGCTCGCTTCGCGCGCCTAAGTCCTGGGCCGGGGCGCCCGGCTCACTCCGCGCGCCTAAGTCCGCGCCCGGTTCGCTCCGCGCGCCTAAGTCCTGAGCCGAGCGGAGAGTGGATTCCTCACACCCCCCCCACGCGAACGCGAGGTAGACTTGAGCCGTGGATGTCGCGTCCGGAGGCCTAGAGCATAGCAATGTGTACCAAAAATCTTGGGGCCTAGCGCTTTGGTGAATACGTCCGCAACCATGTCTGCTGTGCCAACGTGTGAGAGAGAGATATCACCTCGATTGACCATGTCACGGACAAAATGCTCGCGGAGGCGAATGTGCCGGGTGCCGGAGGTGCGAACGGGGTCGTGAGCGACGGCGGCCGCGGCCTCGTTGTCGGTGAAGATGTGAGCTGCAGCGATTGGGCAAACGTGGAGCTCGGAGAGGAGTTGGTTAAGGTAGATCGCTTCCTTACCCGCGTGCGACAAGGCCAGGTACTCGGCATCAGTGGTGGAATCCGCTACCCGAGTCTGACGCTTCGACGACCAAGAGACAGCGGCGCCTGCCAAGTAAAATACGTAGCCCATCGTTGAAATGGATGTGTCGACGCAGGCGCCCCAGTTCGCATCAGAATAACCAACCACACCCGTGACTTTTGCTGGGCCGCGGGCATAGAGAAGCTCATCGCGGTACGTGGCGCGAAGGTAGCGAAGGACGTGTTTGACGGCAATCCAATGGCGGCGGCCGGGGTTGTTGGCGAACCGGGACAGGTACGAGACGGCGAAGGCAATGTCGGGTCGAGTGCCAAGGGAGATGTAGAGGAGGGAGCCGATGGCCTGTAGGTACCACGAACGAATGCGCTCCGTTCCCTGACCCGGAATTGCCGTGAGCGAGAGGCCGGGCGTCATCGGCACCGTAGTGCCGCGTGTCGTGGTGTCGAAGTGGAAACGGGCCAGCACGTCCATGATGTAGCGCTCCTGGGATAGAGCAATGGAACCGTCGTCCAGGCGGCGTATTTGGATTCCGAGGATGTACTCCGCGGGGCCGAGTCGTTTGACGCCGTGTTGAACTTCGCTCCATCTCACTTCTAGGACAATATGCGCTCACTGAAGTAGAGGTGCCTCGCCTTTTGGTGCAGTGGTATATTGTTCCTTCATAGGTTATGAGCCCAGAGCAACCAGCAGGTCATGAGTTCAATCCCCCCTGGGGTCAGGCAATTTTGCGCGCATACACTCAGCGTCCCGGCCCCCGCACTTGCCCAGCGGCGTGCCAAGCACCCTGGCGCATCGACAGTGCTCACAGTGCCCAAGCTGCACTTGCCCAAGCGACCTGATCAACATGCCCAGTTGCCTCACAAGCCGCACCCACTGCCACAAGCTCTTCAGCTTCGCGCACAGGGGGGTGTTGAACTTCGCTCCATCTCACTTCTAGGACAATATGCGCTCACTGAAGTAGAGGTGCCTCGCCTTTTGGTGCAGTGGTATATTGTTCCTTCATACGCCGTACCGCTGTTCAAGGCCGGAGATGACACGTTCGATCTCGTCGAGGGCTGGACTGACAATGAGGAGGTCGTCGACATACAAGGCGATATAGTGAGGCCGCTGCTGATCGTCAATGCGAGAGTAAATGCAGTGATCAGTGCCTGTTGCCTTGTACCCCAGATTCCTGAGTGATGTGTCAATGTGACGATTCCAGATGCGACCGGCCTGCTTGAGACCGTAGATTGAGCGTCGCAGCCGGAGAACCTTATCGCTCGGGAAGTCGAAACCGCGTGGTGTCGTCATCCAGATATCATGATCGAGCTCGCCGTGGAGGTAAGCCTTGTCGATGTCGGCCTGATGAACGTGGTAGCCATTGGCAGCGGCAAGAGCCAGGAGGCAGCGAATGGAGGAGAAACGGGCGACGGGTGCGAAGGTTTCTGAGAAGTCGATGCCGTCGCGCTGTCGGTTACCCTGCGCTACAAGACGTGCCTTCCGCCCCGTGACTTCACCGCTTGCGTTGCGCTTGGTCTTCCAGACGAATTTGGAGGTGACGATGGTGGCGCCCGGCGGTACAGATGAGCGAGGCTCGATGGTGAACACCTTGAAGTCGTCGCGCATGGCGGTGAACTCGGCGGCGGCGGCCTCAGCCCAGATGTTGTGCTCGTCGCTGGACATTGCTTCGCGCCAGGTCTGGGGGTCGCTAGTGATCGATTTGACGGGCTCGATGGCGTCGAGGGTGGGGTCGTCGTCGTCTGTGGCGATGAAGGCGCGGTGGTGTTGGGTGAGGAAATCGATTTCATCCGGCGATTCATCGCGCGAGTGACGCCCAATGATGTCGAGTTCGTCGGGCGACTCCTCAGCCGATGCGGGCTCACGGTACGTGCTGAAGTCTGGGCGGTGCACGTCCGGTGGGCCAAGGCGAGTCGGGGTCTGTGAGCCGATGAGGTCCAGAGGGTCGGCGGAGTAGTCAGAGTCGGTCGGTGAGACCGAGGGTGACGATGACGCTGCCAACGACGGTGACAGCGCAGGCGACGGTGACAAAGGGTTTGTGGGCGACGGTGACGAGGACGGCTCAGGAGACGGTGACGAGGACGATTCGGTATCTGTGGAATTAAGTAAGGTTCCGCCAGTGTACCCTGGGGCCACGTCAACGGCGCTCATGGCAGAATCATCAAGGGAGGATGAGACGTCCATGTGCGCCGACCTTACTAGTGGGGTCCTCGTCTTGACGGCAGGGGCGGGCGTGTCGGCGGGAACGACGAACTGACGGTCGGTGTCGTCTGCATCGACGGGCGTGGTGACTGGCAGGCCGGGGAAGTCGTCGTCGAGGAAGGTGGCATTGCGACCAAGTACAATCTTGTTGATGGAATGGTCAAAGAAACGGAAAGCTTTGGAGGCGAGGTCGTAACCTGTGAAGATCACGCGCGCGGCCTTGGGGTCGAGCTTGCTGCGAAGGTCCGGGGCGACCGTGAGCCAGGCTGTGCAGCCGAACGGGTGGAGGGCGGTGGCGGTGGTGCGTTGGCCGTTCCAAACGGATTCTGGAGTCTGTTTGGCCAAAGCTGAGTGTGAGCACCTGTTTTTGCAATAAACGAAATACGCAGCCGCTTCATCCCAAAAGGTGGCCGGCAGACGGGCGTCCGCAAGGAGAGCGAGGACGCCCTCGACGATGGAGAGGTTGACACGTTCGGCGCGACCGTTTTGTTGAGGCGTGTAAGGGATAGAGTATTGACGACGAATGCCCTTGGATTTGCAGAACTCCGTGAATGCGTTTGATCGGTACTCCCCGCCATTGTCGGTTCGAAGGATCCTCAACCGCGCGTTCGTCTCTAACTCCACTTCGGCGAGCCAAGTCTGGAAGGTCGGGAAAACATCGCTTTTGTGATCGATCGCATATGCCCAGAGTTTGCGAGAGTGGTCGTCTAGAAACGTGACAAGGTAGCGCTTCCCGGTCAAGGACGGAGTGGGGAACGACAGGACGTCGCTGTGCACGAGGCCAAGTCTCTCGGCGGAATGCGACTCAGAGTCGGGAAAGGGAAGGCGGTGACCTTTGGAACCAAGGCAAGCATTGCAAACAAACTCCTCTACGTCTTTGTCACTGTACCCGGCCCCAAACCCGTCCAGCAAACCTGCAGCAATCATCTTCTGTATAGAGGATGGGGCAAGATGGCCGAGGCAGCGGTGTAGGGTAAGCAGGGGCACGGGAGACTCAGAGCGTGAGAGGAAGGCAAGATGCTGACACTTGGTGTGATCCGCGTCCAAAAGGTAAAGACCGTCGTTGACCCTGGTACCGTGAGCAATGGCCCGGCCGTCCTTGGCGATGTCGATGCCGTCGCTGGTGAAGGCGAGACGAACGCGGTCGGTGTCGCAGAGGCGAGAGACAGAGAGGAGGTTGACGTGTAGGCCAGGCGTGTGAAGAACACCACGGAGCGTGATCGGGTGTCCAGTCTTGGCGACGAATGCCACGTCCCCCATGCCGATAGCCGTGATGCCGCCCGCGATGCCGCCGATCTTGGTGTGTGCCGTCTGACGATAAGTCGTGAATAGAGATCGGTCGGCGACCATGTGTGTCGTGGCACCCGAATCGACTACAAAGGCGTCAGTTGGGAGTTGGCGACGAGCGAAGAGGCAGGAGGCGAAATAGCCGACGTTCGGTTGCGAGGCCGCGGAGGAAGACGTGTCGTCCTGGGTGTCGTCGCTGCTACGTGCCTGTTCACCCCGGTTCTTGCAGTCGAGTGCCCAGTGACCTTTCTTGTGGCATCGGCGGCAGGGGCCGGTGGGCGGGTGCTTCGCACGTGAAGTGCAGTCGCGCAGGCGGTGACCGGGAGCGCGGCAGGCGGGGCAGGGGGAGCTGGTGGCAAGCATGGCCGAATGCGAGGTCGAGAGTCCTGCCGAACGAAGCTGGATGCGAATGCGGTCCGTAAGCGTCGTGAGTTCGGGAAGGTCGCGTCGGTTTCGCTGCTCGTCCGTGAACGTGAGTCGGAAGCTGTCGAGGCAAGACGGGACCATGGCGAGCACGTGGGTGGCGAGCACGTCGTTGAGCGATGTTTTGGCGTCGCGTATTTCCTGAGCAATCGACATGTACTCGCGTAGCCAAGTGTCGTAGGCCTCGACGGAGGCAGGCATCTTCCTGAAGTCCCAAAGGCGAGCGAACAACTCGAGAGTGCGTGTAGCGTCGTCCGGTGCAAAACGAGCCTTGAGAGCGGCAAAGATGCGCGGTGCCGACAGGTCGTCGCTGGGGATGGCGTCGAGGGTGGCCGATACGTCGGCGGAGTCGATAGAGCCAACGATGATTTCCCGGGCGGCGTCGTCACGTGCGGCAAGCTGGTCGGCGGTCCAGGTCGGGGGAACGACACCGTCGAGAACGTAACCACGAACCTGGTTCGGGAGTGCAAGACGGAGTTGACGCAACCAGTTGGTGAACGACTTGGGGCCGTCCAGACGAGCGTGCTTGGGAAACACGACCTTGGATGCGGTGGCGGCGTTCCCCGGCACGACGGTGACGGCCGGGGGTGCGGCGGCTGCGGCGGCGGCGGGTTGCGAGGCCTGCAGAGCGGCAAGCTGGGCCTGTAGAGTGGCGATTTGTTCGCCGATCGAAGATTCAGGGGAGCTGGGATCCCTGGGGGCCAAAGGCGAGGCGGGAGAGCTGTCCATGATGTGATGGTGCGATGGACGTGTGCGGCTCGAGTGGCTGGGCTCGAGCGAAAAAGCCTCAAGCGGCGGGGCTGGTAGCTCGTGGGCTTATAACCTATTCGATCAACTCTACTACGTCAGCGATGTAGTTATAGCCAAGAGTGATAAATGCATTTCAACATACCTATTCGATCAACTCTACTACGTCAGCGATGTAGTTATAGCCAAGAGTGATGAATAGGAAGCTAACAATAAGAGACCCGCGCGCCCCAAGTCCACAGCCAGCGAGCCTGGGGCTGAGCCAATGGCCCAGGCTCGCTCCGCGCGCCTAAGTCCCAGGCTCGCTTCGCGCGCCTAAGTCCTGGGCCGGGGCGCCCGGCTCACTCCGCGCGCCTAAGTCCGCGCCCGGTTCGCTCCGCGCGCCTAAGTCCTGAGCCGAGCGGAGAGTGGATTCCTCACAGGTCCGCCGCAGTCTGCGACCTCTTCATCACCTGCTTCTTGAACTTCGCAGCGGTCCCCCTGATGTTGATGGAGCGTATCTCACCGTCCTCGTCCCACGTGGCAAAGTTGTGACGCACCAAAGGGGTTTCAGCGTTGAGCCTCCTCTCGATGCTTTGGTCCCGCTCAAGTCGTGCCTGCTCAACCCAGTTAGCTCTGATCCTGTCCCACTCCTCCCCCTCGCGTAGCGACTTGGCGAGAGTTTCGGGTGACAGAGGTGGGGTTGGTTCATGCGGCGTCGATTCGCGGGAAGCGGTGGCGGCGGTTGCTGTGGCGTCGCTGTCGTCGTCATTGTCCAGCCTGACAAGCGACGTCGGAGGGATGACGTCGTCTACACGCGTTGGTACGGGGGGGGATTTCTGGAAGTGTCGGCTGTTGCGGCGGCAGTCGACAAGGGAGCAACCGAGGAGGGGAGTCGGTCGAAAGGCTCGCAGGAAATCAAGTGTAACGGACTTAATTCCCAAACGATCGACAAGAAGAGGAGGGGCAACAAAAGAGAAGAGCGGACCAAGCTCCCGGGGAAAGGTGGTAAAACTAAAGGGAAGGGACTGTGCCAGGCCCAGAGGGGACTTAGCCAAATCAACCACTCCAAGAGGTCGCCTCAGGGGTAAAAAGGATTGCTCGCGGGAGCACCGGTAAAAACCCTGAAGCCGCGCCTCGGTTAACAAAAAGATAAAACAAACCGAAAGAAGACTGCGGTCTGGGCGCCTCGAACCCGCGACCACCGAGTGCGCGCCCGCGCGCCTCACGACTACGCCATCGCACCGACGATGCTGTGAAACGAGGCAAGTCTCTGGTCAAGTCAACTCTACCCGCACATAGTCTTGGGGGGGCTTCCTTCGAGTACACGCTGTCATCCTGACACTGTCCCCCCCAGAAGGAAGTCTACCGTGCGGCGAGGCGGCGGTTCGAGCGATCGAGGCGCGCGAGGTAGGCGTCGAGGACGGACGGATGGTCAAGGCGAATGGACTGCTCTGACATCCAAGTATCGTCAGTGTCGTTACGGCCTACCCATCGAACCAAGAACGAACGAGCGCCCCGAGCGTTCCGCCGATCGCGAACAATCCGTTCCGGAATCGCAGAATTGTCGGCCGCGTCGGCTACGTCTTCGACAAAAAGAACTGCGGGGTCACGCCCAGGAAACCTTTCAGCATCATTCTCAACGCAAGGCCGAAGCAGTCGAGCATGGAAACGATTGTGCACTCGCGACATCGCTGGAGGGAGCTCGAGGTCGTAGCTGGACGTCGCAGGGATGGCCGCTCGGATACGGAAGGGGCCGATGTAGCGCGGCAACAACTTCGACTTCATGCCGTCAGGAACTGCCAGGTTCTTTGTCGAAAGATAGACGTAACTGCCGGTCCGAAAGGCGGGGTCGTCTGGGCGTCGATGCTTGTTGGCCTGATGGGACTGGTTGAGGCGTGCTCCAATGATCGCATCTGTCACGTCGAGGTTCCGTAATTGTCGGATCCGAGCAAACGCTTCCGCACGAGGGACGTCCGAGACAGACCATGTCAGGCAAACAGCGATACACTGACAGCAACACTCGAAGGAAGTCCCTGAGGTAATGTGCAGGTAGAGTTGAGGTCACCAAATGCTTCCCTCCATTCAAGCATTGTGGGTGTGATGGCGTAGTCGTTCGGCGCGCGGGCGCGCACTTAATGGTCGCGGGTTCAAGGCGCGCAGAGCGCAATCTTCTCTCGGTTTTTGTTCTTTTTGTTAGCTGAGGCGCGGCCTCAGGGTTTTTACCGGTGCTCCCGCGAGCAATCCTTTTTCCCCCTGAGGCGACCTCTTGGAGTAGCTGAATTGGCTAAGTCCCCTCTGCGCCTGAGTGCCTCCCTTTTGTTTTTAGCACCTTCCCACTCAGCCTGGTCCGCTACATCTCCCAAGATCCCTTCACCTTCATCCTTCGTTTTCGATCTCGTTGGCAATAAAGTCCGATATACTTGACTTGCTGCGAGCCTCACAACCGCGTCCCCTCCTCGGTTGTCCCTCGGTCGCCTGCCCCGCCCAGTCGACCTTCCTTCGGCCTGATCCCCTCCTCCGCGTGTAGTCAACGTCTTCTGAAGAGGACGTTGCCTGCCACTTTTTTCAAGTCCGGCACCGCCAACCTTCGATCTCGCTTGCCCTTGCTCTATCCTGCATCCTGGACGAGCAATCGTCCACTACCCCTGAGTCGTCAGCTTCCTCCCCGTTGCCGAACTCATCCCCCGCTGACGCGTCGTGGTCATTCGCCACCTCATTCACTGAGTCCGACGACGAACGCGTCATCCCTTCGTACCCCTTCTTCCATCCTTCTCGAGCTCGCATCCGTTCTCCCCACAACCGCCAACCGCTACGCCGCGAACTCGCCATGGCCGAACCCACCGACACGTCGCGAGACACCACCGCCCCCGTCCGCGAAGACCCCTCGCGCGCGAATCCGCCTAAGTCCCCGCCGACGCATTCGCCGCACCCGCTCCAGGCCGCCGCCGTCATCACGTCCCTTGAATCCCGCCTCGCAGAATCGGAAGCCCTGCGCCGCGACTCGGAGACACGCATCCGCAAATTGGAGCAGATGGTGGAACAATTGATGAGAGAATCCACCGCACCTGCTGGGGCGCAGGTCGGGGAGGCTCTGCCGGTGAGACCGGTCCCCCTGGACGTCCCCCCGCACACATTTTTGGGACGCCCGGGAGCTGCCGCTGACCCCTTGCTCGTACCCCTGGGGGGGAATCTCACAGCGGAATTAGGGACGGCCCTTCCTCGGCGGTGATTAGCTCTCGTTGGAGAGGGACATTGCCGGACCGGGAAGGGTTATGGACCGGAGATCATCCGGAAAGGTTGGTGATTTTCACTGCGTTTGGGGAGTCGTATCTTTCTCTCTTGTGCGACATCTCCACCTCCGACCTTTTCGACACGAGCCGAGTGATCCAGCTTGTGGCGACGCTATTTTTTCGTACGACAACCCGACAGCGCCGCCAATCCCCGCTCGATTGGGCCGTCGAGGCGATGAGGGACGCGCTTGGAGAAGGGCGCCCTCATTGTTGGACGTCGCTCATGAAGGCAGTGGGACGTCGTTGGCCCGACCCGGGTTCGCCGATAGAGTGGCTCAAGACTTCCACGGATGTCGCCAGTCGTCGTCTCGGGCTTACGACCATGTCGGGGAGTGGCGGGCGCGGTACCGTGCCTTCGTGCACGACAACGATAGTTTCACCCTGTCGCCGCTTCAGCTCGCCACGACCTTCTACCAATCGCTCAGTGACTCCTCCAAGCGGAAGTGCGGGCGGGAATGTTACGTGAATACCACGACAACTCGCTGGTGACAATTGGGCGATTCGGACTGAAGGTCCCGTCCATCGACGAGATTACCGAGTGGGCCGCTATCGCCGACGACATTTCTCCTCCGCCTTCGGTTCCGACCCCACCAAGCCGCACGCGACCTATGGCGCGATCGTCAAAGCTCCCCGAGTGAGCCCACCTGCGACCAACACGCCCACCGTCGACGAGAGGTTCCCGATCCGACGAGCTCGATGGGTCGACCGCGCTACTAAGTGGCAGCAATCGCACTTGTGGAAGGACCGCTCCACCTGGTTTTCCCCGGCGCCCAGCGGGGTACCCACCAGCATGGCTTGCTTCAACTGCGGACGAGGCGGTCATTTCTCGCAGCACTGCACCGCGGAGCGTCAATCCCCGGTCGCCGTCCAACTCTCAGCGGTCGCTGTGGCCGACTTGGATGACGAAGATTGGTCCTCGGTCGCAGGTGGTGACGAGGATCCCGAGGTGAGAGTCCCCATTTCACTCGAGCGTGTTCAGACTCGACCTTTGAGTTCCGTTTCCGGCTTCAATGACGCGCCCTTCTTGCCCTCCCGCAGACCCCGTTGGCCGAATGAAAGAAGGGGCTTCTTCTTCATCGACGTCGAAGTCTCATCAAGTAATCCGCAGCCAACCGCGCCGGCAAGTGATGCAGATCTACGTCGTCTTGCCGATGACTCGACCGACTCTGCGTTTGACGCGGTGGAAGACGTCCCCTCTTATGCTGATGCCGCGTCGCGAATGCGGCGATACTGGGGGCCGGAGGTGGTGTCGTCGCGCAAAGCGGAGAGGACTGCATCGGTGAGCTCTGTTCGTGTCCGGTGCCGTTGGGGGTTTTCTCTCTTGGAGTCCGACACGCCCCTGATCGACGTCGACGACTTCGCCCGACCCGCCGAGCCCGCGATTGTTGCGCGCCCGCAATATTATTGCGTGGACGTTGCCGTCTGGGCGAACGCTGCGTTGCCTCGTCGACTCTGGTTCGGAAGTGGACTTGGTGGATCAGGATGTCGTGCGAACAGACCCGAGTTTCACGACGTCCCGCCTTACCGCGCCGCTGCACTTGCGCCTCGGCACTCGCGACAAATCTGACCGCTGCGCCGTGTTTGCCAACGCCCTCTTCACGTCCGGTTCCCTCGACCTCGGCTTGCGGGCGTTTTTCATTTGCCGTGTGACGGGCATATGATGCTATCCTGGGTTTGCCGTTCTGAAGGACACCGGCATGCTGGTAGGCTGGGCGTCTTCCACCGTCGCACGGCGGGCCCTTCGCAGCCGGTCGCCAAGGGGCACTCACGAGTGGGATCGCGCAGTCACGGTGGCGCCCATCTGCTCCGGCTCTGCCATTGGCTACGATCACCCAGGGTTGCTTCCTGACGACGAGATCATTGGCCTCGAGCCGCACAACCCTCTACTGGATGTCGTCGACGACCCGGGCGCTCGAGGATTTGTCTGAGTCCGAAGCACGAACACGATTGGCTGCCTTACTCGAGAAATACTCTGATGTGTTCGTAGATTCGCTCCCAATGGACCGACTCCCGCCTTATCGACCCGTCAATCACGAAATCCCTTTGATCGACCCCAACGAGAAGGTCAAGCGAGGGTCTATCCCTTGCCGACAAATATCGTAGCCAGTGGGCGGAGCATTCAGCTAAGTACACTCGCGGTCGCTTCTGGGTTTCTGGTCCGATCGACTCTGCGGCTCCGGTCTTCGCCATTCCGAAAAAGAACTCCCAGACCGCTCGCTTTGTGATCGACCTCCGCGCTCGCAACAGCAACACCGCCAAGCGTTTTTCACCTATCCCCGACATGACCAGTGTTCGCTACGAAGTGGCACGTTCGCGCTACCGGTCCAAATTCGACGTGGCCGCAGCGTTTGAGCAGGTGCGGGTCATACCGAGCACGTCGATCGCACCGGCTTCGCCACGGTCACGGGCACGTACACGTCGCGGGTGATGCAGTTTGGGACACCAATGCGCCCAACACCCTGAACTTGTTGACATCGGCGATGTTTCAGCCGTGCCTCTCGTTTGCCAAGATCTTTTTCGACGATGTTCACGTCCATTCCGATACTCGTCGCGCGCACTTAAGACACATCGAGATTTTGCTGATGACACTGCGACATTATCGGTTCTACTTAGGATCCAACAAATCCGAGTGGTTCTCAAAGTCGTTAGATTCCTTGGGCGCGATCATCTCCGACGACGGCATCGAGGTCGACCCGGCCAAGTGGGAGCGTATCCGACAGTGGCCGACTCCACACAACAAGACCGACGTTCAGCGTTTCCTCGGCACCGTGAATTGGATGCGAGATCACCTGCCCCACCTCTCGATCACCTTGGAGCCCATCACCGCATTATTAGCGCAATCGACGTCGTGGCGTTGGAACGAGCGCGAGCAGCAGGCCTTCGACACCGTCAAGTCCCTCGTGCCAGCAACACTGCGACCGATCGACGGCGCTAAGGTCACCTCCGGCGAGCACAAAATCTACTTGTTCACCGATGCCAGTCGTGTTGGCATTGGCGCTTGCCTGGCCTCGGGCCCCACTCGTTCGCAGGCCATTCCTACGCGATTCTTCTCCGCTAAGTTCAATGGCGCTCAGCTCAATTATCACGTCACTGATAAGGAGTTCTTAGCCGTCGTTTCGGCGTGTCGGGCGTTCGAGCAGCACTTGATCGGTTACCCCTTCGTCATCGTCACCGACCACCAAGCCCTTCGCACGATTAAAACGCAGAAGTTACGCCAAACACCCCGGCACATCCGCATGTGTCTCGAACTCAGCCGTTTCGACTTCGAATTCGAATTCATTGCGGGCAAGAACAACTCCCTTGCCGATTCGTTGTCACGCTTGTGGAAGTCAAGGGGGATCGCCCTGTGAAGAGTCCACT